GTGGCGGTATGGGCGCCACAGCCGTCAGAAAATCGTCAGGTCGGGTCTGATCGTCGGGCCCGAAGCCGGTGTGGGTCTAGCCTTACTCTGAGCAGTTGATATGTGTTTAGGTTTGTTTTTTTTTCAAAGGAACTATGTATCCCTAACACTGTCTTGTTAAATGTTTCAGAGCTGCAAGCAGGTGATGGTCAACGGACAGATTCTCACGGTGACAGACTCCAACATGCTGGGCCCTCCGCCTGGCTCGGACGCTGTCGACTGTCACCAGAACAACCTGCAGGCCGCCAGCTTGGGCCCCCCTCCGCCGAATGGACTCTCCCTCGGGCCCGCTGGGGCTGCCACCCTGGGGCCGCCCTCCTCCGGTCTCAACATGGCGACAGGCGGGCTTCTAGGCCATAGTGGGCTCGGTCCGGGGACGGTGGGCCTGAACCATCCCGTCATCTACACAGTGGGAGAAGGGGGACAGCTCGTCCCGCTACATCCCGCGCCGATGGGCATGGTGCAGCCTAACGGGCCGGCAGGGCTGGACTTCAACTCCCTGCAGACATTGCAGAACTCAAGCATAATACCGCAGTCTCAGCTGCTGCAGCAACAGCAGCAGCAGCAACATCAGCACCACCAGAGCGGCCTGCAGCAGCAGCAGCCTCAGCAACCCCCCGTCGTGTCGTTAGGAGGAGGGGCGGGCAACCCTGGTGCGGGGCCGCTAACGATCCTGCCGGCGAACCCTGGCGGGCCTCTACAACCACAACTGCTGAACCCTGGCCCTTTGTTCCTGGCTCAGCAGCTCTCCCAGCAGCAACAGGTGCGTGCTCGTATTTAACGTATAGTGTGCGTGCTCGTATTTAACGTATAGTGTTCTTTTTTGTCAGTACGGTTGCGCGCTCGTATTTAACGTATAGTGTTCTCTTTTGTCGGTACAGGTGCGTGCTCGAATTTAACGTATAGTGTGTGTGTGGTCGTATTTAACGTATAGTGTGTGTGCTCGTATTTAACGTATTGTGTTCTTTTTTGTTGGTACAGGTGTGTGCTCGTATTTAACATATAGTGGGGGTTTTTTGTCGGTACAATATGTGCTCGTATTTGACGTATAGTGTTCTTTTTTGTTGGTACAATATGTGCTCATATTTAACGTATAGTGTTCTTTTTTGTCGGTATAGGCGCGTGCTCGTATTTAACGTATAGTGTTCTTTTTGGTCTTGGCTGGTCACCAATGAAAGTTGGTGTGTGCTGCTGTGTGTTGTGCTCTTTCTCTGCTATCAAGCATGTATCGTCCTTATTTCTCCTCCTCCTTATATTTGCGTGTTACTCTCTAGAAGTTACATTTCTAATCTTCAGCACTTACATGACCTATTTGTGATGCAATCGTTGTAAAATGCTTCCTGAAATAAAACTTTCTAAACATTGTGAACTCCCACAGGTGCTGAACTTGTCCAACCTGGGTGGAGGTTTGCAGCTGGTGAACCCGTTCACGGGTGTGGTCATGAACGGCATGGCCTCCGGGCCAGGGGCCGCCGCCACCGCTCCCCCGCAGGCCTCAGCGCATGGCAACCCGGCCACAGCCGGGACGGCGGGGACGATGCCCTTCAGCGGCACGGCCATCAAGTTTGTGGGCAACGACGTGAAGATTGTGCAGCCGGGCGACAGCCACCAGGGCCCCACCCACGTCATGGTGGACGGCTCGCTCATCCCCATCTCCACCAACCCGCAGACCATCGTGCCCGCCGGGCTCCCGCTGGGCACCGCGCCGGGACAGAAGCCCATACCGCTGGGCTCGAACCCTATCCTTCAGGTACCCTGGTTTTCCCTGTTATATGTCATGTGTGTGAGCGAATGCCATTCCAATGCTTTGCTGTGCTGTGTGTGTTTGTGTTTTGTGAGTGTGGGTGTGCAAACAGCACTCCTAAAATTATTATTTTTCAACTACTTTTTTCTTCTAGTATTTCTGTACAAATTCACGGAAAGTCCCTCTTTTTTTTTTTCTTCCTTTTCTGTCTTTCAACTTTTGTTTGAAAGTTCCAGTTGTGATACTGATTGTTTTTTGGTAGTTGTCATCAAGCTTCGGTCAGTGTGATTTTTACATGAGAAGAATGAACAATGTGATCTTTATAAATGGCCGCCTCAGAACTATTTTGTCCAAAGAGCCTCTTTTCTAAAGTACACTTTGAACAATAATTCTGGAGGCGACGAAATGTTTTTAAAAAATGTCTATAAATCTCAGCAACATTTGGTGAGAATTGTCTTCCTTTACCCCAGCACTTATTTACATATTTATTGTGTCAATGTTCTACTTTAAAACTTAAAAAAAAAATTGCTTCCAACTTGTGTATTTTTTACTCTCTGTAGTCTTATAAGCAGCTAATTGTACATGATGATGGAGGGGGGGGATTGTATATGATGATT